CCCCCCCCCCACACACACACCCCGGTGATTCTTACTCACATCCGAGAAAAATGATGTTTTTAAAAAAGCATAACCTCCGTTCTGTCTAGAGGATATGTTTAAAACCAATAATGTTGGTACAGACATGATAAATTGGATTATTCTTCTGAGATCTCACCCAATGAATGGTTATTATGAAGAATAACCTCAAAGGAACCTTCCTAATGGGTTGGAAACTTTTTTTAAAATATTTGTTTATTATTTAGAGACAGAGAAAACATGAGCATGGGAGGGACAGAGAGAGGGGGAGACACAGAATCCGAAGCAGGCTCCAGGCTCCAAGCTGTCAGCACAGAGCCCGATGCGGGGCTCGAACCCACAAACCCATGACCTGAGCCGAAGTCAGACGCTTAACCGACTGAGCCACACAGGCGCCCCACATGGGTTGGAAACTTAAGCCTACAGCTTTATGGAATTTGGTGTTATCTTATTGGCTGCTCTTTTTAGGTCAAGTCAAGTATTTTGAATTACTTTCCATTTCGTTTATACTCACTTCATGAGATGGTGCACGAGCACCAAAAATCTTAAGGAACGGTAATGTCTATTTTCATGTGTTTCAGGTTTTCTGGTTTTAATAAAATAACAAATGAAGTAATAAAATGACCTGGGAGGGATGTTGAAGCCAGTCTGGGACTAGATGTAAATCTTTCCCGTAAACAAAGTGGACTGCGTCCTGTTTTCTCTGGCCAGGATAGCAGCGTGCAAATCATTCAAATCTGGAATCATTGATTTTTAAGAACCCACGTTATCACTAAATTACCCTTTGCTCATGAGATTCAAATGTATAGTCAGTAGAGTACCTCAAATTCTGGAAAGTGCCTCATAAACATTCATACCCACCATGCTTAAAAACTTCAATAAGTATTCCTCAACAAGTCGGTAATAATCTTCTTGAATACTATAGTCACATCCATTCCATCACATTTTATGAAGCCACATTAACTCTTGTCACATGGAATAAGGTTACGGCGCTCACATTTTCCAAAAACACCTTCTAGGGCCCTTTCGTTTATTATCTGGTCCTCAAAGCAGACCAGTGACAAGATAAATTCATTAAGAGAATTTCCAAGGAAATGACAAAATATAGTCCAGGTCAACTGTTTTCCGAATTGCCGCGTCTTAATCCACGGACGTGTCTCGAAGGAGACCGGATGGACCGCACAGATCTCAGGGAACCCCGGCGAGTACTGTTTTCCCTGAGGAGCTCTGTGCAGGTGTGAGTGACAGCGCGTCCTGGGTACCTGTGCTACCCCTTAGTGCAGACCGATCGTCTACAAGTGCGGTTGGGTTGACGTGCCCTGGATGACAAGCCCAGAAACCTAGAAGGGCACGCTTTCACCTTGGAGAGGCAGGTCTGGAGGCAACAGACTTGCCAGGAAGTACTATTTGATAGTAACAATTTGCATAATAATAGCTATGCCTGCATTTTTTCGTTTAAACTTCACCATGGAGTTTTGAGAATGGCACAATTGAAACTCCACTTTGCAGATGAGGAAACTGGGGCGCCTGGGTGGCTCATTTGGTTGAGCGTCTGACTTCAGCTCAGGTCGTGATCTCGCAGTTCCTGAGTTCGAGCCCCGCCTCGGGCTCTGTGCTGACAGCTCAGAGCCTGGAGCCTGCTTCAGATTCTGTGTCTCCCTCTCTCTCTGCCCCTCTCCTACTCGCTCGCTCAGTCTCTCAATAAATAAATACACAGACGTACATTACAGATGAGGAAACTGAGGCACTGAGGGGATTACATCACTAGCTCAGAGCCTCTCAGAAAACAGTGGAGCTGGAATCCCACACAGGGCACAGAGCCTGCTCTCCACCACTTTGCTTTCCTAAAACCCTTCAACTTGCCTATTCGGGAATGCTCATCTTTATATTGTTCTTCCGGGGGAGGGGTCTTACATTTAGATTCGCTATCAAGGTATTTGGGGAAAAGAAGAAATTCTGAAACACGGTCTTGTTTCAACCCATTGGCAATTATCTAAATCTGGCAAAGGAATATTCCCCCGACGCCAACTGTGTCTGAAAGAACCAAGGATTGTATAAACTTCTATAACCAGCTATCTCTCATTGATCTCCGTCCCATAATATCGTAGTACTCCTAGAATCTCCAGACCTAAATTCTGGCTGCCTTTGGTTCTTGGATTTCAGTTGATCAGGCACCATACATTGTAGGGGGAAGGTCCACCTAGATATTCGGGTCAATAATTTGGGACAGAAAGAATTGCCCTTTTACCTCTGTCTACTGCGATGCCTCCCTCTGTCTACTGCGGAGCCCCTAGCTTCTAGACTAGCGAAGGCTTTTTCGGAACATATTCAGATATAAAAAGTTTTCCCCGATGCTTTGGCTCACGTGCACGTCAGCTGCAGTCAGAGTAGCTGGAGATCCATCGCGCCAAGTGCAAAAAGTAATTCTGCAAGGTGTCAGATGAGATTGGGCCTCCTCAGCCTTCTGTGGGTAAAATTCTTCCAGAAGTCTATGCTCATTACCAGAAGGAAAAAAACCAGATCTATGAGAGGTGATCACGTGAGCTTATTGGGATGGCAGATCCCAGTGGCAGATAGGCCATGTGGGCTCACTGACGTGGAGGGAAGAAGCAACGAGGTGTGGTTACCCTCGCCACAAGTCTAGACGGGTAGCTTTGTGACAGCTCTCTGGGAGTTAAAACGTGAGGACAAATGAATTTCCTGCTCAGTCTAGAATGTCCACTCTAGGCATCGTAGCAGAGGGGAGACGAGCCAAGTATGAGGTTGGTCCCAAAGACACTTCAGCCTCTACAGCATTTTTAGGGCCTTCCTGTGGGGACACGAGTCAAGTCTGCCCCATCACCATCTGGTTTGGTGCATATGCTGCCATCTGTGAATGAATTTGGTGCCTCTGTCCCAAGGGAGTGAGTCCTCCCCTCCCCTCCCCTCTCACACCAGCTCCGGCCCCAGGCACACTGCCTTCCACCGTGCTGCCCAACCCCCCGGAAGTGACTCTCCCTCCTGAAGAGTGAGAGCAAAGGTGAGCGATGTGGAGACTGATCTGTTTAGAGTCTAGCCAACCACTTTCCAGAGGAGGAGCTCCCACCTGATAGTTTGGACAGAATTAGCTAATTCCTTAGTTCGCCACGTTCAGGGTTTTCTACAGTGATAAAGATGGAGTATGGATTGTTCCCACTGTTCATCCCACCGCAGAAAGTATCCGCCCGGGCAGATGTGGATTAGTACCACTCCTCGGATGGCAGTGGCTGCCCACTAACCCGGGCACAGATGTCATGGAATTCATTCATTCACCCACTCAGTGCTTCATTTGTTTAGTATCGTTAATTCACTCTGCATAGTTGATCTTATTCCAAAAAGGATTTGAGACAGCTATAGCTTCTGCCTGAGGTAGGCGAGCCTTGTTGGTTTTGACCTATTGTAGAGCATTGTCACCCTACATTTGATCTTTCCGGTCCCTGGAAACTCAAAATTTTACTCCCATAACACTTTTATTGAGATTTTCAAAACGTGACCAAGTGAGCACTTCCTTAAAAAATGGGACACTTAAGGATTCTGACTCTGTAGGGGCACCTGGGTGGCTCAGTCGGTGAAGCATCCGACGTCGGCTCAGGTCATGATCTCATGGCTTGTGAGTTCAAGCCCTGCCTCGGGCTCTGTGCTGACAGCTCGGAGCCTGGAGCCTGCTTCGGATTCTGTGTCTCCCTCTCTCTCTGCCTCTCCCCTGTTCACGTTCTGTCTCTCCCTCTCTTTCAAAAAATAAGTAAACATTAAAAAAAAAATTTTTTTAAAGAATTCTGACTCTGTAAAGTGGGATCATTGTGTCCAGTACCAGTGAGATCCCGAGCAGCCACCTGGGGCTAATAACCTCACTTCCACTGAAAGCGTTGCTCTCTTTCTCCATGATGACCAGCTGCAGAGTTAGAGTACCAGCCTGGTGCCATCTGAAATTCTGGGTTTCCCTTCCCACTGATTGGTCCATTACCCCCTATCTAAGTCCACTGGGGCAGCCATGACAAAGTACCCACACAGAGGGTGGTTTAAACAACAGATGTTTGTTTCTCACGGTTCTGAGTCTGGAAGTCCAAGATCAAGGTGTTGGCAGGTGTAGCTTTTCCTGAGACCTCTCCTTGGCTTGCAGATGGCCACCTTCCTATTGGGTCCTCCTATGGTCTTTCCTCTATGAACATGTGTCCCTAGTGTCTCTCTATGTGTCCAAAACCTCTTTAAAAGGATACCGGTTAGATTGGATTGGGCCCTAATGACCTCATTTTGACTTAATCATGTCTTTATGACCCTATCCATAAATAAGATCACATTCCAAGTTACTTGGGTTCAAGACTTAAGCGTAAAATTTTGAGGAGACACAATTCAGCCCATGACACTCCCCCCATCCCACCCCCATCGGGATACCTGACTGGCTCAGTCAGAAGAGCATGTAACTCTTGATCTCGGGCTTGTGAGTTTGAGCCCCACATTGGGTGTAGACATTACTAAAATAAATGAATAAACTGAAGAAAAAAAAAAAAACCCATCTACCAAGTTTGAAAAACAAAAACTAGGTATCCAGAAATTACATAACAAAAGCTACCCAAAAAATGGCGTAAGTTGAGAGTATGGGTATATATCACATTTCTGAAGGTAAGTACGATGGTATTACAGCTCATCTTGTTTCTTTTTTTTCTTTCTCAGTGTTGGGGTGTCTAGATCAAAAGACGTACCACCATTTGGCCCACCAATTCCCAAAGGAGTAACTTTCCCAAAGTCAGCAGTATTCCGGGACTTCCTTTTAGCCAAAGTAATCAACGCAGAAAATGCAGCCCATAAGTCGGAAAAGTTTCGAGCTATGGCCACTCGAACAAGGCAAGAGTACTTGAAGGATCTGGCGGAGAACTTTGTCACGACCGCCACTGTGGACACCTCTGTGAAATTCAGCTTCATTACACTGGGTGCAAAGAAAAAGGAGAAAGTGAAGCCAAGGAAGGATGCCCACCTGTTCAGCGTCGGAGCAATCATGTGGCACGTAATAGCTCGGGACTTTGGCCAGTCTGCTGACATTGAATGCCTTCTTGGGATTTCCAACGAATTCATAATGTTGATTGAAAAGGATTCCAAGAACGTTGTATTTAACTGTTCCTGCAGGGATGTCATTGGGTGGACCTCTGGATTAATGAGTATCAAAGTATTTTACGAAAGAGGGGAATGTATCCTTCTGTCCTCAGTGGATAACTGTGCTGAAGACGTGAGGGAAATCGTCCAGCGATTAGGAGTAAGTACAGATCGTGTATTTCTACCATCCTGCGGGCCTTCAGTCCCAGATTCATGATGGTGTCCACCGTGGAAATTCCACCGCAGTTGTGGCCCCTCGGGAATGAATTACCATCTTGTGTGGCTACAGAGCTCGATTTCCAATTCCATGTCTTTTGAGCGGTTGCTGAATTCATGGGTGCTGGAGAAGCGCCCATTACAGACGAATTGGAAAGGAAAAGTTAAACCGGCTTCCGAAAGGGAACACCGGGATGTATTTTTTAGTATCTGAAGGCACAAATATGGAGAATTGTCCAGATGTTACGTGTGTCTGTGGAGACTGACGGGACAGTACCCTCCCAGAGGGGGATTAATGGGCACTCAGTTGCTGTTGACCCTATGAATGAGTAACTCCTTTTTGCAGCTTCAATTCTGTGCATGTTGATACAGCAGGTATTTTCATTTAGTCTGCCTGATTAAATACATTATTAATCGCCAGCCACAGTTTCTTGAGGAGGAGGTTTTATAGAATTACCCATTAAGTTAGACTTAAAAAAAAATTCGTCATAAAAGAGATTTTTTTATAAAATGTTGTTTTTAAGTACAGAACCCCTAAATGGTGTCCATGGCGTTTACCAGTTATATTCCTGGTCCTGATTGTCACACAGAAAGATCCAGATTTCAGTTTGAGCCCATCCAGCCAGTTATAAGAATCAAACATAGTACAAGAACACAAACGTACCATGACCAAAGAACTTCTCATGTTTAAATCTTCTCCCAAGGGGATGTAGATTGCATTTCTAGAAAACATTTAGCCCATTACAGATCATGAAAAGAGGCCAACTTCTACCCATTTCCTGCCCTCTTTCTTCCCTCCGAATATAAATCTTCCCTTTGTCATTCAAGGCCATGATTTAGAGACAGGGGGCGCCTGGGTGGCGCAGTCGGTTAAGCGTCCGACTTCAGCCAGGTCACGATCTCGCAGTCTGTGAGTTCGAGCCCCGCGTCAGGCTCTGGGCTGATGGCTCGGAGCCTGGAGCCTGTTTCCGATTCTGTGTCTCCCTCTCTCTCTGCCCCTCCCCCATTCATGCTCTGTCTCTCTCTGTCCCAAAAATAAATAAACGTTGAAAAAAAAAAATTTAGAGACAGTACAGTCAAGTCAGTGTCCGCAGGCTTCGGAGAGAAAAATTGATTATTTGTAGACACTATTTACAGGAACAGGCCTCCGTGTGTCCAGCAGTATTTTTGGGTGCATGTGCACAAACACAGACATGATGTGGGGACGATCAAGTCTGTGATGGGTTTATGTGGTCTGGAGTCCCAGGACACATTGTGCTTTTGGTAATAGCATAAATACTTCTTTTTAGGAGATCCAGAGTTATCATCACCTGTGCTCCCGAAAACAACGACACAAACAAACACCACTTGACTCCCCCCCCCCCCCCCCCCCCCACCAAAAGTGCGCCGCAAATTATATTGCCCTCCTGGGTACATGGCTAGGAAGCCACCATTTTCCTATGATAATTGAGCCCCTGTAAGTTTATAAAGGACTGCAAACAAACGATCCTTTATCCCTTGCAAATGTTAAGAAGCAAGGGACAGAAGGGATAAAAAGGTAGCAAAAAGCAAAAGTAGGGCAGGCAGCAGGTGGTTGGAGGGGAAAAAAAGCAGAAGAGACACGTAGGACTCAGGAAGAGCTTGACTGTTCATTCTTCAGGCTGACATACGATGTTAAATTTCAACTGATGACTGCATTAGTATTTGAAAGAAGGCAGAGTATGTGTCATACCTATGTAGACTTTTGGTAGGAGAGCCTAGCTGAACCAAGGTTGAAAGAGGAGCGGAGGAAAATTTTACTCAGGTTGTGCGTGCGACAAGAGTACTTTCCCAACAGTTTTCAACGAGTTCAGCTCGGAACTTTGGAAGCTCCGGTCTTTCAAAGTTTCACGGAGACTGGCAGTCCCTTGCCCCAAGGACTTTGCCCTGAGCCCCAAGCCATCACGTGTGTCTGTGAGAAGTTGATTGGCAGCACGCGCACCTGTGATGGTAACCATGGAAACCGCCAACACAGCGGCCAGACACAGAAGCAGCCCCGTCCCACGGCTGCACTTAACACTCTTATTAAGTAGGAATCTGTGCATTCAGAACGCGTCTCATGGAAATGGCGCATTTATTAAACGGCAGCTTCATACGTTGGCCCAGTGCTTTGGGGGAGACAGGCCTGATGCCCCCTGACTTTAAATGTGCCGCGGATGAGGGATGCCGTGGTCCTCAAATGACATTTAACGAGCCTGTGTTTTCCTTTCGGTGCCGGTGAGTTATTCTCGGTTATCACTTTTGAGGGTGGCATTAGGTGATTGCCGGCACTTTAGTGCACCGTGTGGGATGCAGACCACCCTGCTTCCAGGTTCCTTTTTGGGATCCTGCTGCAGACGCACGCTTTGGGGCGCGCAAGCTGCCACTGCTTGGCCCCTAGCCAACGGAAGTTGCCCTTGGCCCCCAAAAGAAGGAGAGGTGGCCTGGAGGCACAGAAGGTCTCTGCTGCCTGCAGGAGCGCCCATCCTCCACGCTGCCCTTGTCAGCAGACGCCCAGGAGCCTGGCGGGCCTGCCCCCGCGTGAGCTAAACGGTGCTCCCCACCCAGGCGAGCGGAGGCAATCTGTCCCTACGAGAGGGCTTCCCGGAGGACAGAGCCGGTGCACAGGGAGAGCAAGCACAGAGAGACTTGCCCTCCAGATGCTAGCTTGGTAAGGGGTTGGGCCGGTTTTTAAGTTGAATGAAATTGTCTAATAGCTCGTCATGTTTCACGGGCGATACTCGTCACAGTTTTGACAGAGTCCCTTTTTCCATTGCTACCGCCCGTCTGGAATCGCGGGGTTTATACGCTTAAGAGCCAAGTCGGTTGACCCAAGGAAGGGGAGGAGGGAGTTATCAGAGCCCGTCGGAAGCTCACGGGCTCCAGGTCAGTGGCTTCTAAGTCAATGCAGGACACCCGTTTCAAGAGTATATTTGCCTTGGAAGAATGAAGCCGTAGTTTTACTTTTGTGAGTTTCCCTGCATCTGATGCCACGGGTAATTCTGGTGAACTCGGGAAGGTGACGTCCTTACCGGGACAGCTGGAGGGAAGGGCTGGGAGGGTTATGTGCACGCCTCTACCCTGGGCTCCTCAGCGGTGTCTCTCACGGTCTCCTTCCCCCGCAGATAGTGACAAGAGGCTGCGAGACTGTGGAAATGACCCTGAGGAGGAACGGGCTGGGCCAGCTTGGCTTCCACGTGAATTTCGAAGGAATCGTTGCCGACGTGGAACCTTTCGGCTTTGCCTGGAAGGCTGGCCTTCGCCAGGGGAGCCGCCTCGTGGAGATCTGCAAGGTGGCCGTGGCCACTCTGACCCACGAGCAGATGATCGACCTACTCCGGACTTCTGTGACCGTGAAGGTGGTCATCATCCAGCCCCACGATGACGGCTCACCCCGGAGGTAAGGCACGGGAGGCCCTAAGCAGCACTCGCCCCTCCTTGGCCGCTGTGGCAGGTGCTGTCCTAGCTGCTCCCGCGGGGTCCTCAGAAGATGTAGGCACGTGCATCTTCAACCAGAGTTGTTTGGACATCAGCCATTAGAGCAATTTAAAAAGAGCTTTAAAAAAGTTATTAGCGTATAATAAATGATAACTTCCAATTTTCTAAGCAATTTACAGGGACATTGACCAGGTAAAAGCTGAGATATTACAGACTAAGGGGCACAGCCCCTGCTTGATTCACCTGGACCACGAGACCCAACAGGAAATATTCTTTATCACGGCTCAACCTTTTAGCAAGTTAAATACATCGCACTGCTAGAATTCCTTTCTGGAACGCGAAGCTAGTGATTATTAACAGGGTATGTAAGAGATCAGTGCCTGTATGTCTGAAGGGACAGTGGAATCTCAGACATACTGTGCGAAGTGACTAGTCCATTCTAGTTGAGCTGGTACGGGACATTCCCATAAGCTGTCACGAGAAACCTATGCACAGGAGCTCGGGTGGATGGTGGGGAGGAGGAACAGAATGGAATTAGGAAGTGATTCTGTTCCTTTGTTAATAGAAAATAACCATGCTCAACATCAGGAAAATATTAGGCCCAAAGGGAAAGAATGCTAATTTAAGAACAAGCCATCCATCTGGCTGTGGCCCACCGTGTGCCTTCTCTCTCCGGCTTAGAAGGAGCTCCCGCAGGCTGCCTTCCAAGCTCTCGCTTTTGAGAGACAAGGCATGCTCGGAATCCATGCCTTCGCTGTGTGTTCTTGGGTCACGCACCTGCTCTCTCTGAGCCTCGTTTAATATCTGTAAGATGGAGATTATAATATTGCCTACCTCCTACTGCTCTCACGAAGATTACGTAAGAATGACACACGTAAAGCACTTAACACCTTCCGGCATACTCAGAACCCCCACACGTTTTAGGTAAAATTAAAAAAAATAAATAAATAAAACTTTAGGATATTCACATGAGTGTTTTCATGCTCTAAAAGAAAGTGTTGTCATCCCAAGAGAGCAAGATGACTGTACCCCCTTCTGGACATATTTCCGTGGTAACCGAGGTCATTCCTGGTACCTTCTCTGTCCTCTAAACCAGCGCTGTCCTGTCTCCGTCTCCGCGATGATAAGGTTCTATATCTGCACTGCCCAAAACAGCAGCCGCTAGCCACATGCAGTTGTCACACACTGGAACTGCGGTCAGTGCCACCGAGGAGGTGAATTCTGCATTTCAGTTAAGGTTTACTTAGCCACACGTGGCTACTCTTCATTGGCTACCCCAACTCGAAACCGTGACCTTTTTTAGAAAACAGACCAGAGGTATATATACCACCTTCTTTCTCCCTGAGGAATTTTGCAAACATCTGTTGCTGTTAGATTTCTTACCACTTGCTGCCTGCCTGACTATCTGTGGCCTTATTTCTTATGTCTGCCCGGTAGGTTTACAAAATAAAGGTTTAGCGAGTTGAAATCCTTCTTGAAAATAGCAGCCGCGTGTCACGGGAAATATCCGAGGCACTCCTTGTTGCCTTGCCAGACTCTGTCCCGTTCAGTCCGTTTGCTTTCCAAGAATCCCACGAAGCACACGTGGTGGTATGAATGCAAAGGAATCAAAGACAGACTATTTTTATTAACAACGAAACTTGGAGGGGTTACTGGGTGGCTCATTGGTTTGAGCATCTGACCCTTGATTTTGGCTCAGGTCATGATCTCACAGTTCGTGAGATCAAGTCCCTCATCGGGCTCAGCACTGGCAGCACAGATCCTGCTTGGGATTCTCTCTCTCCCCCTCTCTGCCCTTTGCTAGCTCGCACTGTCTCTCTCAAAATGAATAAACTATTAAAAATATATCTTAAAAAAACGAGACTTGAAAATAACAGAAGGCGAAGCCTTTAGACCTTTGAAGTCACCGTATTGTGTAAGTGACGTGTTTTAAAATAAATTTTAAGCCAGGTTACCAGAAATATTCCCATATGGTAAGATGTCTTTCTTCCTTTGGTGGAAATACAGATTTATAAATCTGGTGAGACTCTTAGAGGTTGAGTACTGCTATGGAATTAGACAAAAGGGTTACCATGTTTTCTCTCTTTGAATTAAAAAACAAAATTTCTCGTCTGTTTATAATTCTAGCCTACTGTTTTTCAGTAAGATACTCTTTAGGCTTACAAGAGATCTGGTTAATAACGATGTTAAAATTATTAAGTTTGGTATTCAGAACATACGATTTGGAAGAACAGAATTTCCTAGGAAATACTGAATTGTTTTTCAGCTAAAACAAACAAACAAAAACTTACCATTTAAAAGTTCTGGCTGTGCCTGTTTCCAATTCTGTGTCTCCCTCTCTCTCTGCCCCTCCCCCGTTCATGCTCAGTCTCTCTCTGTCCCAAAAATAAATAAAAAACGTTGAAAAAAAAAAAATTAAAAGTTCTGGCTGTTAGTTTTCCATCCAAGGACGATGAGTTATCTCTGCCTTGGTCTGCACAGAAATGAATTCTTTCTTTGTTTTAAATGCAAATGTTCCTATTGAAGCTATTCAAGACGATTCGAGATTTTGCCTTAGTGTCCTCAGAGTCTCATTAATGTCATTCCCTGAAGATACAGATTTCTCTCCTGATTAATCTGGGATAACTGTCTTCTGCATTTTTACCTTTGCCAGGAGCAGAATTAGCTGTGTGCCTGGTAGTGACACTTTCCCTGCCCCCACCCGCATTCCTTCAAGTCATGAAGGTTTAAAGCCTCGCATGTATCATTTAAAATTCCTTCAGTTCAGTCTTCCAATTTTGTGGGCATTTGAATCTGTAAATTTTTAGATCCGTATTTTTGTCAGTTTGGGGTTCGTGTTCCGCCTGGGACTGTCTGGGGGTCCTGGTAAAACCACTTGGCTGTCGTCAGGCAGCTTCACGTGACAGGAAGCAGCCCTTGCAATAACAGTCCTTTGCTTCAGACCGCAGCGCAAGTGTGAAACGTCATTTGAAACTGCATCCGTGCTCTAGCAACCTTAGCCTCTGCGTTACTAGATTTTTTTTTTAGCCTCTGCATTACTAGATTTTTTTTTGAAGGAATAGTAGGAGAGGGGCCCTTCAAAGGGGAAGTGGGTAGCACTTCGACTCACTTAAAAAATTAAACTACAAACCTTTTAATGTTTATTTATTATCGAGAGACAGAGAGACAGAGCATGAGCAGGGGAGGGGCAGAGAGAGGAGACACAGAATCCGAAGGAGGCTCCAGGCTCTGAGCTGTCAGCACAGAGCCCGACGCGGGGCTCGGACTCACAAACCGTGAGATCATGACCTGAGCCGAAGTGGGATGCTTAACCGACTGAGCCACCCAGGTGCCCCAAAACTACAAACCCTTTAAATGAAACATTGCTTAGTGCCGTGTCTCCTTAACAAAATATACAAAGATCTGCCTCAGGCTAAAACTACACGTGTGATTTGTGGCATGGGCAGTTACCACTGGTTTTCCCACACACTGTTCTGAGTGCTTGTCAGGGAGGGGGCAAAAAAAGAGATGTTCATATGTGTGCGTGTGTGTGCGTGCGTGTGTGTGTGTGTGTCTTTAACGTAAGAGCCATAGGACGACAAAATAACCAAACCAATGAATGGCAAGATATTTCGATCTTCGATCTTCGTAAGCCTCGTGAATGATAGACTAAAAACTTCAGTTCAGTTCAAATTTCAATTCGTTGTTGCTGTTTATCAGCTGGATTTTTGTCCTGCGGGATGTGAATGGCGGGGAACGATTCGCCTCCAGCCTGTCTATTCCCATCAGCAGTGGGATAGGCCCGTCCCCTAATAGACTTCTGGTTGTTCACAGGTCAGAAGGTGTTTGCTCATGACTCAGAAGCTGCTGGATTAAATGAAGTCTTTAGTCGGGAAAGTATTTCTCAAAAACCACCCCACACTTCGAAGCCCCGTTCCCCAGCCTAAGGGTGATGGTAATCCAGCTGTCCCTCCACTTGGAAGGAAGACGGAGCCATTTTCCCTGTTCCTTGTGGAGTCCCAGAACACACTGAGCAGGGAGCATCCCTTCGGGAATGCTTCTTAAGGGATGTCGTGCTGGGGTTGGACCGCGAGCGAATTCATACAGATAGGGGAATGAGTGGCAAGAAGCATTTTGGGAATAGCACTCTTCAGATGGAAATGAGGTTTTGAAGGGAGCGAGGGCATTTCCCACGCGGACCCCTCTGTGGCAAAGATAAAGAAGACCCACTGAAGACACTGAATGGATCTCTTCCTTGGTTTGGCAAGGGATCACGTTGCCCCCGCCCCTAGCCTTCAAAGGTGCCTGACACTCCATCAATGTCATTTTAAGGCGAGCCCATCAATTTAAAAGGCGGATGGAGAGGAAATAACCACTCATCAGAATTAGGCGTGAGTTGTTACACAGTGTGAGCGATCCGGTAAACACGTCCAATAAATGTGGAAATGAAACGCCTTGCTGTGGCGCATCCGTTTCGTGTGATTTCTCCTACTTTGCTGACCTACCATCCCGGACAGATTATATGATGCAAAACAGCGGAAACTGTGTCATGTCACCCTGCATCTAAATTGTGATTCTCTCATCATCCTAGTGAAGCTTTATGCTCGTGTGTATAAGTTTATTGTACTTTGATTTAAGCTCACTCTGTAAATTGAAGCTTCACGTTGCTCTGCTTTGCTGCTTGGGGCCGGACCGTTTGACTCCCTGACATACACACGGGACGACCGGGAACTAGAAATAGGAAGGGAAACTCGATTTTGTCAGGTTAGCATTTTGGAGAGAGATCTGTGTATGTGAAGTAGACGGTGAGTTCAAATCTGGACTAACGGGAGGTTTCCAACTGACTTGTCTGGATAAGAAAAATGAGTTTTAATGTGAGCTGGGAACAGGTTCTGTATCTTCTTGCACCGTCCCTCCAATGTGAAATTCAGATTCTTCTCTCCCTCCTTGAAGTAAGAACGTTGCATCTCCCGAAGGAATGAA